CAAGAAGTTGCCCATAGTCTCATTAATCTCCATGGAAGAATCGACTGAACAAACATGTACGCAGGGACTTTAAGGCACTCTTAACTACTCAGTGCTCCTAGTATGCTCCTGCCTGGCCAGCATCTCTTCCAGTCAGCTCTTCTTCTGACAGTAGCCAACTGTTGATACTAATTTTCTTTCGGCCTCACTAGCTGGCACCTTTCTCAGTAGTAGTTGGTCTTGCAGGAATAAAGTTGTGGCAATAGAAAAAGAACACAAATATTGGGATTGCTTGGGGAAAAAAAAAGTATTTTAGTGACTTCTTTGGTATAGATACTTGTGAAACACAAATGTTGATATATGCAGTGTATTAACCATTTTGAGGACACACTGAGTAATGTATATGCAGAGATTGTCAAGGATGTCAGAGTTGGCATTTTTGAAAGATGAGTTGGGATTTGCAAGCTGTTTCTTTGATGCCCTTTCTTCATAATCATTGCTTCTTCAGAGAGCATCTAACCTGTGTCAGCACCTCTTGGAGAAGCACTGCCTCAGAAGCATTGAAAATTCTCACCAGCAATTAGGCAATTAAAAAAAAAAAATAATCTGCAGCAGTAGGCAGTAAGGAAGTAAGTTTGCTTTTGTCTGTTGAGAACCACCCATATGACAAGTGTGGGAATACGTTCTTTTCTAATACCAAAGTTAGGTGGTAACTGTCTTGGACTACGAGTTATCTGACTTTCTGTACCTGTGGGATCAGCTCATAATGGTGGCTTTGGCCAATACCCAGTTCTGTAGACAGCTGTAACTTCAGATTATCCCTTTTCATACACATGATGAACTAGGGCCTTTTTTCTTTTTCTCCATACCTTGAAGTTTGTTCAGCAAAAATTGACCTTGCAGAGCAGTTCTTTTAAGGAAAAAAAAAAAAAGTATTTCCTGATTTTATCTGAAAAGCTGGATAACTCAGCATTCTTGTTGGATTTATATGGCTTTAGGTTGCAAGGCCTCTTAGTGAGCCATCAGCAACCTCATTTGACTCCAGTTCAGTCCCTTGAATTAATAGGATATTAAATTGAACTGACTTTTGGTCATGATTTGTTTTCCTTTGGGTTTGATTTGCCATTGTACAAACCACCTAGCCTATCTGTAAGTTTTTCCAGCTGTCCAAGAGACAGAATTTTGTTCCGGAGAACATAATGTGGTGTGTGATTAAGTGACATGCTCTCCCTGACTTCATCTCCAAGTCTGGAAGGTCAATATGGGTTCTTTCCTTAAAATCTGTATTCTTCTTTTGTCTGTGTATGGCAATCAGTTCTCTTGGAGTATATGGACTATTTTTTAAATTAGAGTATTTAGCACTCTAAAATAGCATTTTGCACTGTTTTTTCTTAATTTTCTGCGTGTATGAATTCCTAGGGAACGACCAGTTTGTGGTTTTTTTATATGTATTGCAAACAAGGTCACTTTGCTAAATTTGCTGTGAGGATACATGCTCTGGTATGTAGTCTCATGCAGAACATATGTATTCTATCAGAAGTTTATTGATTTACCTTCTGTTTTTACTTTATATTCCAAATGTTCAAGTCTGTTTTCTAAATGCCACTTAGCAGCAAATGCTTGTCCTGAAGTGGCAGAAGAATATCATGTTGTTATCCTAGCTGTCAATCATGTTGTTTTTGAGTTGTTTGGGGTTTTTTAAACAAACCAACAAACAAACAAAACCCACAAAACACAACTGCTTCGGTTCCTCTGGAGAGGTAACTATGGTGTTTTCTTGATCAGCACAGCCCAGAAATATTTTCACTATTTAGTAGGGGGTTTTTTGCATCCATTAGAGAAAGTACTCACATTGATTTATTGTGGTGGTTCCCTAAAGATGCTTCTTTTTATTTATCACTACAGCTTTCACCTGGCTGTCTGGAAAGTAACAGTTTCACAGTTTGATACCATCTACTGAGCTTTTGAATACTCAGTTATAGTTACACTCCTATAGTTACTATGCCTTTTGCAGATCCTGCTGTTGCAGAAATGTGGATGTGCTCTCTGCTGAGAACTCTGCTCTCTGCAGCTGGATCAGAAGCTAGATTGTTGACAAACACAAAGAATAAATTAAAAAATAAACAAAACCCCAAAACAAAACACCAGAAAACACCACTTAAAAAAAAAATAAACTGCATGCAGTTTTAAAATACCATAGCTTGTAAAATATAATCCCGTCAGAAGAACTGATGCTTAACCTAGTGTTATAATCAGTATAGGTTCTGAGGATGTTTCCAGTTTACATTGTTCTTGCTCAGGTCATGACCTAATCCTCTGTTTATGAGATGGAAGATAATTTGTTATAGATAGCCTTCACTAGGTGTTCTTCTAAAAATAACTCGTATAAATAATACTTTCCTGTAGGAGATAATGGCTTTTCACAGCCAGCAACCTATTATAACCCAGACCAACTTCCTCCAGAGAATTCTTCCTTTATGGAAAGGAATTTCATCTGCAGGTTACGATGCCTCCTGGATAATTCATCTGGGTTCCTGGTGAGTACAGAGTTATGTAAAAACTTCCACACATGCTTGCAAGATGGCAATCTGCATTATCCTTACAATATGTACAGCAACTTACTTTATTTGGTAAGTCTCCATAGATATCTGGGCTGCTTGAACCAGTATGTTTCAGTTAGTGACACTAAATGTGTCCCCTTCAACATGCTGTTACAACCAGGTGCAAGTTCTCTCATTTCTCATGGCTCAGTTTCCTCAGTGAAATATGAATGAGCATCTGCTTTTGTAAAGTACTCTGTGATTTGCAGATAAAAAAGCATTACAAAGATTATTTTCAGTTGGGTATCTTGAGATGCAATAAGTCATAATAGCTAACAGAACCATAGTTTTCTCTTACTTGGGAAAGTCTGTGCTTGCTCTTTTTAATACATTTTTTTGTTTGTTAATGCTGTAGATTTTAAAAGAAATATGGGTTTATCACCCTCTAGGTGACTTCTTACAAATAGAATTGTTTATATAGGATTTTGCAATTGTACACATTGCATACTTTATACTAATGACTGACAGAAATGCAAGAGAAATAATGTTATGTTAATTGTACGTATCTATATATAATTCCATGTCCATTAGAATATTAAAAGATCTATTGCTATTATGTGTTTGGGTTTGTGTGGGTTTTTTGGTTTTTGTTTTTGGTTTTTTTTGTTACAAAACAACCTTTCCATTAGTTCTTTTTCCATTGAGTTTATTAGTAGATCTCAAAGTGACAGGCTCAGGGGTCCAACAACAGTATTCTGTACTTGTTAGCTAACTTTTGTGTATGCCATGCTAGAAAGCTTGAATCTGATGGGTGTTATGTTTTACATCATAACAGAAATATCTTACTCTTAAATGTCTCCAACATATAACAATTATTTGTTTTCCTCATCCTAAGGCTATGAATTTTCAAGGACGATTAAAGTTTCTCCATGGTCAAAACAAGAAGGGGAAGGATGGTGCTACTTTGTCTCCTCAGCTTGCTCTGTTTGCAGTAGCTACTCCCCTGCAGCCACCATCTATCCTTGAGATACGAACCAAAAATTTCATCTTCAGAACTAAACACAAACTGGATTTCACACCTACTGGCTGTGATGCAAAGTAGGTGTAAATTATTCTGCATAATGCTCTAATAACAATTTGCTGATAAGTTTCAAGTATGTATTTGAAGTATAAAGCTGGCTACTGTTTCAGTCAATACTGATAATTGTTTAGGAGCTGTTGGGATTTTTCTCTTCATCCCTCCTAGTAAGTAAAGAGAAATGGGATTGTCATCGTGTACTTCCTTGAAAGGGCATATTGCTTTCTGATTCTCAATCATTAAAATAACAAAACAGCAACCCCCCAAAAAAACAAAACAAAAAACCCCAAAAGACAGAATACTAATGAATTGGGGAAGAAGAAAAGTTTAACGTTTAAATGTGGTTGAAATTTGGTTTTAAAACTGATAGAACAAGTGTTTCATTTTGTTCTAAATGCATGTTTTCTCCTTCAGTTCAAATAGATATAAAATACAATGGAAATGTTATTTACTTCAAAATAAACAAATGAAGTCCTTCTTTATACTATGACTTTTACCCATTTCCAAACCATTCTTTTCCCTATATAAAAACTGGAAACACCATTGCATTACTACATCAACATAACATAACTATGCATCAACATGGCAAGAAGCCCATTAAGATGCTTATCAAAAGAAAAGCCTCTGACCTCCTTCCTTCCTTCTCTCCTCCCTCCTATTTTTGAGTGATAATACTTCCAGCTTTCAAACTCATTTTCAGTGGAATCTCTCATATGGATTTCCATGTCTACTTATAGAATAATGTAGAATGAAATTACTCTGTATTCTGTCTACTGATAAACCAAAATGTTTTTCTTGGGTTCTATAAACTGGTATGAGTAAAAGTTAACAAAATGTTAACACAGGCTTTTCTTTCTTCTGTTTGATTTTTTTCATTATGCTTCACTTGAAACCTTCAATTTTTGTCACGTTTTGTGCTCTTGCATATATTGTTCCCCATCCCTACTTTTTCCTTTTTTTTCCCCTCTATTTCTTTGTTCCAAATCCTGTTTTAGTCTCTTTTTGACTATTTCATTCTATCATGTATCTCTTAGTGCTCACACAAATGCTGTTAAGTTCTTCATCTCCCTGACCTCTAGTAAAGTACTTTAATTTTAGCTACCAGGGTCAAACATGACTCTATTGCCAGTATTCCTCTGAGGTGTGTCTTAGAAAGCTTAAATGCAAACACAGAGGTCTGAAACCACTCAATAGCAAAAGGGTTGTAGTTCTGAGATATGCCCCGTTTTGAATTTTAAGCTACTACAAATACTAATTTAGGCAAGAAGTTTTAGGTAACTAAAATTAAGGCCCTACTTAATTCTACAGGAGAGCACCTATAGATAAATGCTATGAAATAGGGTGAGGCAAACAGTGTCTTTCATTGCAACAAATGGGAGCTTCTTGCTATAAGTGAATATGTTCCAAAGTATGGAATTAAGAGTCCAGCTGAACCATAGACATACTCTTTTTTTCATTTTTAATGATCTAATAATTTTGTGAACCCATTCCTAGTCACTGAAGGCAACTTGGGGGACTAATAAAAATTTTATGATTTGCTAACTGTATTTTTTCTTAGAACTGTCATGCTTCCGCATACAATTGATATTGCAACAAAATGTAGTTAGCATTTACGTCTGAAGTGTTCTAGCCGTAATTAACTTCCTTGGCATTTGTTCTATGAGTTTGTTCATCATCAGTGTTGCAATTTTTTGTTTTTACCTTCCAGAGGAAAGATTGTCCTGGGATACACTGAAGCAGAGCTGTGTATGAGAGGAACAGGATACCAGTTTGTTCATGCAGCTGATATGCTTTATTGTGCTGAAAATCATGTCCGAAGTAAGCTTCATTCCCTAAGAAAGGCTGAAAAATCAAAGCATAGATGATATTCATACTGAAAAAATACTATGAAGTACTCTTTGTTAATGAACAATTTTTTTTTTTTAAAAAGAGCACTGTTCATTTCATGTGATCTTTTCCTCCCTATAAAAATTTATACTGGATGAAGAAATAGTTAATATTCCTATCTAGACCCTTTTAGGTTATATATTCTAGTTTCTGTCACATCTTGCTCTTCTCACTTCCTCCTCTGCTCAACCCAACTTCTGCTATTTCAACAACTTCCTTTGGGCAAAGGGACTATTTCAAAGATAGCTTTCCTGTTAGGAAGTTAAATAAAGCATTTTCTTTTGATATCAGTGTAGGATTTTTAACAGAAATTAATCTCTGATAATTTAGCATGCTAGTGTCCTCTACATTTCTAGTTTTGGTTCTTGGCAGCTTGATTTGGTTTAAGTAACAACTTAAGGAGAGAAGTATAATGTTTTAAGCTAAGGAAATAAGTGTCAGCTATCTGATATGTAACTATTTAGTGGACTTCTTTCTTTCCTTTTTTGTTAGCTGTAACGTATTTGTCTTTGGAAGTTATAGAAACATCTTCAGGATATTTTGGTGCTTCTTCTTTTCTACTAACTTCTCTTGAAAAACTGTTTTTTCTTTTGTCCCCTTATATACAATTAAATAACCCTCCTCAGTAGGTTAGTTCTCAACCTGTATTAAGCAGGTTTTCTGTTTCAGGTATAGCTCAGTCACTGTTGCCTATCAGTGGTTTTGTTTGTTTGGTAAGGAATAAGAAAGAAAATATTGCCAGAATAGAATGGGATGAAAGTTTTGTTTGAAATTTTGGTTTGAAACTTTGTCTTAAAACTGCTTTTGCTCCATTTCTGATGCCAAGATAAAAAAAAAAGTCTTGTAGCAAAGATTATTTTTTGTTAGGATTCTTAAACTTTCCCAATATTTTTTAAATTTAATTTTTCTGTCTAGAAATGCAGTTTTTTCAGCAATGTACAATGAAAATGTATGTTTATCAAATGATAGTGGGAGTGAAAAATAACGGATTGTGAGGTACCTCTGCATTAATCAGTCAAAATGTGAAAGAATTTGATTCAGAGCTAATGTGTTTTCTAATATCTTAAATAATAGTTACTTTGTGGATGTAAAAGAAACTTAGGCTTTTGTCATTTACGTGTTCTAGTATTTATTAATTTCTGTTATTGCAGAAATAATGGATGAAGCTCCATGTAGGATATTGCCAAGCTGTAGTGGGTATCTTACAATTGCTTGCAGTTTTGGCTTTTATATTACCAGCAAATTAAAGTAGACATCTTAAAGTGATTGATCATCCTGTTTCACTAGGAATACATTAGTGCCACACAGAAATGGGTGACTGAGGACATGAGATTTGTAAAATTGCTCTACAAATGGGATTACTTTCATGACATGCCGGATTTTCCTATTTTTGTTCACGGGACAGTAAACAGTATGCTTACTCTTTAACTCTAGTGATGAAGACAGGTGAGAGTGGAATGACTGTATTTAGGCTTCTAACCAAAGAAAATCGATGGGCCTGGGTACAGGCAAACGCACGTCTTGTCTACAAAAATGGAAGACCAGATTACATCATTGCCACGCAAAGACCTCTTACGTAAGTCATCATCGTATAAAGTATTATCCTTCAAAAACTGAGAACTTTTAAGCTTGTTTATGTTCAGAAAAGACTTCTTTATTTTTAAATAAACTCCCTTTAAATGCTGAACTCCAAAAAGAAAACCTCTTTCAATTTGCTAACAAGCATTGAAAAGAATTCTGATATTTCAGTACTTATGTGGCATAGTCCTTTATGTGTAAAACTTCAGACATTTTGATTTCATATAAAGAAAACAAGCAGTGGTACAAGCACCAAGTTATTCCATTCAGCCTATTTTTAATTCAGTATCCCTGTTAGCAAAAATTAAGTTATCCAGCTGCAGTTGTGTAGAAGAAACAACAGATAATTTCTTTGTTAAGTCCTTTATGGTGCTGAACTAAATTCTATGTAATATGGAATTCAGCATTGTTATACAGGTTAAATAATTTTTGCTAAGGAGTCTGTGAAATGGAGAAAAGAGGTTTCATTACTGAAGTATTCATTTACTTGGTATGCCAAGAAAAACATAATGTGTGGAACAAAGCCCGCTTATTTTCATTTCCACTCATAACGCACAGAAAATGTTGTATGCTATCTAGATTTAATTACAAATGTAATATGTAAAGGTGGTATTACAGTCATAAGCTCCTTATTTCACAATCTGCCTCTTGGTTTAACTCAAGCCAAGTTGAGCTGGAATAGCGAGGAATTTGAAAAACGCCTACCAATACAACAGTTCATTTTTTTTTCAATATTAATTCCAGAGGACAAAAAGATTACAGTAACTGTTTAGTACTGCAGATTTATGCTATATATCTGATTTATTTTCAGAGATGAAGAAGGGGCAGAACATCTACGGAAGCGTAACATGAAGTTGCCCTTCATGTCCCTATGTCGAGCCTTATGGATCCCTCTCAGCTAAAGAGTAAAAGCACGACAGGAAAAGGGGCCAAAGCAACGCTACACAATGATTCCGTGGATCCAAACTCCCTCCTAGGTGCCATGTTAAGGCAAGATGAGTCTGTGTATCTCTGCCCTCCAGCATCACATAAACTTTCCTTTGAGCGGAACTTGTTTGCAGACAGCAGGGATGAACTGGGCGGTGTTCGAAGTGGCTGGACGGATAATCTTCTACCTGCTGGAAATCACAACATTCTCAAACGGGAGCTAATGGAGTGTTCCCAGGAGAGTACCGTTCCACTTCCTGAAGACAGTGCAGCACTCTTTCAAGATAACAAAACCAGTGATTTGTACAGCATCATGAAAAATTCAGGATGAGGAGTTCTTTAAAACTGAATTATCTGGTGTGGATGATATTGGGGACATTGACATAACTGATGAAATCCTGACTTACGTTCAGGATTCCTTAAATAAGTCTGACTTCTTATATTCAGGTTGTAACCAGCAGCAGCCCCTGGTCCAGAATGAAGGTTGCTTTGTACAGCAAGAGTTAGATCCACATCAGCTTCATCAGCACGAGAAACAGCTCATGGACCAGCAACAGCAGCAGCAACAGCAGCAGCTCTGTCAAAAGATGAAACACATGCAAGTCAATGGGATGTTCACAGATTGGAGCTCTGGCACCAGCATGCCTCTTAGCTGCTCGCAGCAGCAGCCCCAGCAATATGTACTCCCTGGCATGCATGCCTCTACACCTGAGTTCTCTTACAAATCAGAAGTAAACACTTCCCCTTACGCGTGTAGGCAAGAGTTTATTCCTTACAAGCAACCCACAGTGATGACGCCACAGCTTTCTAATTTTGCTCAAATGGAATTCCCTGTAGCAGGTTTTGACAGATCGACCTATTCTGCTTCTTCCAACTTGCAGGATTTTCTCAGTTGTTTACAGCAAGACCCTGAAAATCCTGAGTGTGGGATGAACTCTGAGTCAGTTATGCTAACTCCTCAAACATGCTATGCAGGCGCTGTTTCTATGTACCAGTGCACCCAAGAAGCACAGCCCAGCTGCGTGGATCAAATGCAATACGATCCTATTATGGCAAGTCAACAAACGTTGTTGAACAAGGTAAGGTAAACAGCATTGCCACATTGCTTGCATTTTGAATTGTTTTTATTGTTTTGGGTGGCTACCGGGCTGCAGAGTTTGTCATAATTGAATCACTGAGTTTGAAACTAATGGGTTAGCAGTGTGTGAATGTCCTTGCTTTATTTATTCATTAGATTGAAGACAGTTGCCTTTGGTCAAGCTTTTATGTACACGTATCCGCATCCTGGTAGCTCTCTTTGGCAGTATCGAAGCAAGAGTGAGTGAACTAGTCTGTTGTACCTACCAGTAATTTTCCCAGTAGGCACAAATGAAAAGCAGATTGGTCAAAAGCTTGGTATTTTCTTATATACCTTTTCTAGACGAGTGGAATTATCTCAGTAGTATTGTCTGGCATGTTCATTTTCATGAAATATGTTGTAAGGATCCAGAAAAATATCTTGGTTTTAAATTATGTTAGTGTTCTCCAGGTACTCAGATTCTTCGATGATTTTTAGGATTGCTTAAAGTATCAGATTATAATATCACATAAATAGCATGAAATATTATGAACTACTGCATTTCTACATGCAATGATACTGCAAAAATATTTTTACACTTTGCCATAAGTGAAAGTCAGATTGTTTTTCAAGCTGCTGTTGAAATTGTCTGCTGAAGACAAAAGAGCAGCAAAAAATTATATTCACAGTGGTTAAGTTGGACCTTTTTCACACTGGGCTAAGGAGAATGCACAATAAAAGCTGTAGAAGAGAGGAGCCTGGCTGTAGCAAAGACTACAGTTTTAAGCACAGTTCTTCATAGGTAAAATTAACTTAGAATTAAAAAAATTCAATTACTAAGGCAGTTCCTGATTCTGAATAACCTTTGTTGAAGTAGTTTAAATTGTACCATTTATTTCTGTTAATGCTGCTCAAGTACAGAGCTACAATTCTCTTTTTTATTTTTACCTCAGTGAGTTAATATTCTAAAGTACTGATCCTATAAATGCTTATGCACATGCATAAGCATTTACAGAATTAAAGTATTAACTGGCATTTAACCTACACAAGACAGAGGTGAGGAATGCAAGTAGAACATACCCAGTTTTTCAGTATGCTTAATACAAGTACAAAACATATCCTTTTTAAAACTGTTTCACTAGTGGAAAAAACATAATTGCAGAATTACAGAAATTTAGCTAAAATATAGGACAGTTCAGCAAGATGAATAGCTTCTGCCTGGGTCCCCAAGGGCTGTAATAGCATGAAGTGACTTTGGCAAACCGCAGTGTGCCAGCCTGCACAGTGCTTGGCTGTACGTTGCCTGGCTGTGGTCAGTGTTACTAGTCCTTCATAGTCCTTGATAATAGGGTTGCAAAGCAGTTCCAGGGTCATCCAAGTTCATCCTTATAGTATAGAATTGTTCTTTTCACAACAGCTATACTGGTGTGGTGCATCAGTTTTGAACAGCCAGCACATAAGCAATTCCATTTCTTTCTTTTTAATGGTTGGTTTCAAATTCATTTATTTTGTAGATTATTTTGTTGTTATGCTGCCTTGGTTTTGTTATGTCCCCTTTTTGTTATTTTCTTGCTTACTTTTTCTTATCTATCTGTAAAAAGTTTAATGACTAAGCATCTCTGAATGCAATAAATGAATACATCTATTACTTCATATTTACTAGAACACTGTGCCACAACAACAATATTGCATTTAGCTTGTTTGTCGTAAAAAATGAACAAGGGCCACTTTGTGAAAAGTTATCCTTACTTAAGTTTTTCAGAGGCAAATTCAGCTCCTCTTGCTGTGGTATACCCATGCTGTGTGGATCTGGATAGCATTGCATAAGCAGAAGCCTGGTGCAGAACTGATGTTGCCCTTGTGCACGTTAGCTCCTGTTTACCTATGAAGAGAACTGCTGAATGTTTGTCCAAATGAGCTTAAAAGAGGAGCACGCTTCTTGCTGAGACAAGGAAGGATTATTCCTCCAACCCCTTTTGTAAAAGGGTGATCGTAGATAGCAGATAGCTATCTCCAAGTCCTTGCAGATCCAAAACTTACATGTGCCAACTGCTTGTTCCTAAACCAAATAGCATTGACTTTTGCAGCCCATACTGCTATACACTGTTCACATGAAAAAAAACAACATCTCTTGTATCAGACTACTCAGTTTTGACATCTAGTCACATCTGCCAATTAACGTTTTTATAGATTGAGGGCAAAGTAAGGCTCTCCGTAAACCCAAGCTGTTATATTAAGAAATGTTTTAAGTAGAAACTCTTTTTTTTTTCTACCTAGAAATGTCATTGCTCCAGGGAAAGATAACCCTATATTTATATATGCTTGTATTACAGAGGTTGTATTTAGCCTTGTATCAGAGGAGTTAAGAACTTTAAAGTATGTGAACCCATTGGAACTAGTAAGTCACAAGTATAGCTGCTGCACTTGAAGTAATCTTGTAAAATATCCCCTGTTCCAAAGCCATGATGGCAAATAATATCCATTTCTTTATTGTAAACAGGGAGAATGTATCACTACTTACAGTAATAAACTTAAGGTTTGATTTTATTGCTAATTGGTAACTTTAGTAAAGATGCGACTAAGCAGATAGGATACTACTGTCTGAGCCTACATTCACACAGCCAAACCAAAGTAGGGCAGTCTTTGTGGCTGGATTTAGCACACTGACATCCCTATCAACACTTGGAGTCTAGAGAGAGGACAGACGTTGCTACGCAAGCCATGATTGCTATCCTTTCCTCAGCCTTCTAACTCCCATCAGTTTCTAAGTGAAAAGACTAGGGGATTAGAAAGCCAGAAGGGTCTATTGTGGTCATCTCCCTTGACCTTCTGCCTAACTTGTAATTGCAGTAGGATCATAGCCGATGTAGTCTAAAAACGCTTCCAGTAATGGAGAAGGGCAGAAAGGCCTTAGATAATTTGGTTGCTTGTTTAAGGTCGGTGTTCCTTTATTAAACAGGAGAAACCTTGCTAATTACTAGATTCTGTGTTGAGAACTTTCTTAGAAATTTCAATGTGTGCTCGTCTTGTTAATGAAGAATATTGAAATAATCTGCTTCTGTCAGAAGTAATCCTAGCTTATGTTATTGTAGCTGTCTTTAGAAGTATGGTGACTTTGATTAAAAACATAATTCACGTGGCAATAGTCTTGTTAAAGACTTAGAAGAACTGTGCACAGTTAGTCAAATTTCAGTGTTTGCGTTGAAGGAAATAAGTTTCCAGAAGCCAGCATATTTTGATAGATGAACAAGTGTATAACATATGTTTTAAGGACAAACCTTGAATGAATGGGTATTTACAATATAAGTGACTCCTGAAGTGATAATGGAAATACTTTAAATATTTTGTTGTATTTTCTTTGCATGACTGAATGGAGTATTTTGTAGGTAAAGTGACTTTTCTATAGCATGACAGGAAGCATTACATCAGATGATTAAAGTAATCCTATGAACAATTATGTCAAGACTGATGAAAGCCATTCATTGCTTATACTTGGCATTGTCAATATGAAGACCGTTTGTCAAAAAAGCCCACCCTACGATGGCTCAGCCTGTAGATTGAATGCAGTACACTTCAGTTGACGAATAGGACTGCATGTGCATTCCTGGAAGAGCTGTAAAGTCTGGATCCCATTGCAGACATAAAAATATGTAAATAGGTTGCTTTTAAAATGTAACAGCTGGACGTGGAAATTAGGAGTGCTCAGTCATACTGTAATTTCTACAAATGGAAACTATATTACACTTTAGATAATAGTGATGTTTCTTTACTTAGCCAGAAGTAGGACTCCCACTGACTTCAACATGGGTAAGTTTCACTGATGAGTCAGACCCTACTTTAATGCAAATTAACTTCTCATCATTCATCATTAAAAAAAAAAAGTTTTAAAGCTATTCATTACATTTAAGATGATTTCATCCAATCTGTGTCTTTAGGAGGCTTTTTTAAAACTTATAAATAAATCAGTAACCATTTATATTGTCTTTTTTCCTGCCAGTTCCAAAACTGTTTCAATGGAGGAAATGTAAATGAAGCATATCCCTCTCAGTTAGACGTGATCGGTAATGCACAGACTGCCACGCATCTTCAGCCTCTTCATCATCCGACAGAACCCAGATCCTTCTCAGATTTGGCATCTAGTGGATTTATGTGATTCAGATCTAGAGCTCCATCTGTGATTTTGTCTGGGCATCAGGCTGCTCTGAGGAAAAGCTTGATAAGTCTATCTTTGAGCATTGGACTTGAACAGCTAAATTACATTTTGAGAATGAGGTTGGTTGCACTATATACTGGTGGATATGTAATCCAAGACCTAGCTTTTTAGAGTGACAGGTGGAATTAAAACTTCTGACTAAAAGTATGCATGTGCTGTTTTCCATCAGATTGACTGTGTCATTGCAGTGTGGATTACATATGTACTACAGATGATGTCATGCTATACAACATAAGATAAGGCAAATGGTTTTGTTGTTTAGAAAATAATTGGGCACTTTACAAATAGCATCAATGGCACAAGGAAGATGATTTCACATGTGGATTATTTCCAGACTTTATTTTTTAAAAACTATTAAAAAGCTCTGAATTCATGAGAATCAAAAGCACTTAATTTTAATGCATACTAAGCTCTTTAATCACTTATTTTATATTTAAATCCTTTCGTTTTAAGTCTCCATTTCTAGCACTTTAATAGAATGCTTAATACAAGGATATGATATGCAACTTCAGGTTTTCTATGAAACAGACCCTTGCATTCCTCCTTTTCTTGTCAACCTTAAGTGCCTCACAATTTAGCTACCTTGTTTTCTGATGGGAGCTTATTTTAGCAAAACTCACTATAAATGTCATCCATATTATGTGAACTGTGATCTAACATCTACAGTGCTACTGGCTGTATCTTTTTTTTTTTCCCCCACCCTAAAGATAATTTGTTTAGAGAATGACTTAATTCTTTATCTGTGGATTTGTTACACTATTATCAGGAGTTAATAATGTTCTGAATTTAGTTGAGCTAAAGAGTTTTGGTTTATTCTATACTGCTTTTCTGCTTTCTTCAGGTAATACAGGGTATATTAAAAAAGCAGATTTTGCTGAGAGGGAGGAGCAGATCCTCAGGATTAGTTTTAGATTATTAATGCTGAAAAACATGTGCCTTATCTTGTGTTAAAACGCTCATAATGTTCTTTAGAAATAATACAAGGCTGCTCTATGCAAATACTTTCATTAAAATGGATATTAAAAAGGATTTCATTTTAAATAAGGGGGAAAGGAGTATCAATAGCGATGGCTATTGATGTTTACTTTGACTGCAGTTTTCAATGTTCGTAGTGGGGAAAGGGTCAGTTTTGGTTTAAACTTTATCCCTAGCAAATTGCACTGCAAAGTACAGAGAGGTTATTCTTTCTATGTACGTTGATCCATTTGAAAAGCTTTGTGCAAAATATGAAATTGGGAAAAGAAAAAAGTCATTAAAGAAGTTCTCCTTGTAATAGGTTTTATTTTCAGGAAAAAAAACTCACATCCACAAAAACATTCTAAGTTTTTGTTTTGTTTTTATCTGAGAGAATTGTTAGAATTGCAGACACCAATGTTTGGTGGAAAATAATAATCTACATGAAAAATACAGAAATGTGTATATGTTCAAAATATTTCATACTCTTGTGTGTTGTATAGTTCATATATAATAAAATGTCTTTGTAAAATATTTTAAGCCAGTTAATTTTAAAGTGTTACATCATTATATGTTAAGAACAATTTTATTACATTTGTTATATATAATATAAAATGGCAATTTAGCCAGTTTGTTTAAAATGGGCAAAAGTAAATTGGCTCCCTCCAGACAGTTGTTAATATTGTTTAATACAAGGACAATCACTTAAACTTGGAATCCTTTCGTAGCTGAAACATGCTTTCTTTGAAGAAGAGCATATTTTCTTCTATTATGTGTGATATGATATGCTAGGCCAAACTTCTAATTCAGTTACAACTTTTCAGATTAATAACTTCAGCAGTTCTTTTAAGTGAAATTACCATATATGAAAGGGACATTAAGGAAGCAATGACTATCCAGGAAAAGCCCATGAAGACATTGTGGGTTGTATTACAAGGTTGCTTTTTTTTAACGTTTCAGATTTTGTTTTCACCACAAGACATCAGTAACAGATTTAATTAATATCATTTGAATTAATTTGTGATTCTGTTATTTCTTTAATTGAAGGTCTTGTTTTAAGCCAATATCTGAAACGTCTTCCATATCTAGCTAGTGTATCATGTTTGCATTTGAACTTGAAAATTAGAAAAATGCTGTAAAACCAGAAGGTTCAAAGGGATATAATGTATGTTTTACACCTTACAAACCAGTATATATCCTGTTTATGAATTTAGTTAAACCAAATACATGTTGTCCTATCACTAAGTGCCAAGGATGCAGTACTACAACTGTGCTGCCCTACTTACTGTAAACAAATTAGTTGTTCATATGCATATCAGCGTATTTTGTGCATTATGTTATGTGTACAATATTGACTGTATTAGTGCACTCTTGATCTGCACAAAACTGTACCTACAGTGCACAGATGTTTCTAAATTGGATCTCTATTAGCTCTTCAGGTCTGTTATAGGTAAGATTATAACCCAGTGTTGGTCAGTATTACTATCCATTTTTGTACCAGTTTTCTTAGCTTGTTTTTCTTTCAGTTCTTATCTCTCCTTTGCTATGCCTGCACATACCATGCCGTACACCTCTTGCGTTAAGGTATGGTTTTGTAGCGCTCTTGCTCATCTTCAGTAAAGTTTGTAAGACATAATATATGGTAATAAAATAATCACTTGAATGTAGCTGAAATGTATGTTGTTTTACTGCAAAAATGTTTGATTTCCGCAGTATACAGAAAGATACCTTATACAGTTACTAATATCTTTTGAGAGCTCGTCATCTAATAGTTTACAAAACTATCGTTATTTACATCACTGTGGACTTTGCACTTCTCTGAGTATTAGATGCAAATACAATGTATATAATTTAGTGGTGAACAAATGTGTATTTGTCCATGGAATTACCATTTTATACTTGCATGGAAATGAGTTTATAAATAAACTTTGTAAATAGTAAGCCACAATTAGCAGTTGGTAGGCTTCTATATTCATTGCTTAGTGACAGTAAATCCACAGTTGAACAGTACTGAGGCAGGAATAGATTTCTGCAATAGATGCTGCTAAAAATAAGCAGCATTTTCTGTTTTGAGATTTGTAGCTGGCCATTGGTAACCTATTTACTGTTTATTGCTATTTCATAAATAGTGATTTTAAGAAAACAATTCTTTTGGTTTATTTCTAATTACTGATATCACTGTTTCCTGTGTGCTATATTGGCTTTGCATGATAATCTTTTAAAATCAGTTGTAAGGCTGAATCAAATGTTTCATTGTAATCCCCTATGTGGTTTACCAAATTTACAATAGTTCTTTGGCTTAGTGACATGATGGACAAGAATTTAATTGGTTTCAACTATGTTATTATCTTGTAATGTATTAAGACACATCTTATTCAGGATCAGTACTAGGCTATGACCTCTGTATGTAGGTCCTCTTGTTTAGTCTTCTTGAGTAGCACAAAAAGACAAGCCAAGATACAAGGGTAATTCAACAAGACTGTAAATCTATTGACATCTGGAAATAATCAGGCAATAATGTAGGCAACATAGGCCATCCTTTTTTGTAGTCTGTTGATTTGTTGAAAGGATACCTTCAAGCCACATATCAACCTGTTTCCAGAAGTGTAAGACCTCACTATCCAGTTTTGTTTGAAGGAGGGAGACAACTGTCTTCTGGACTAAGCCATTTTCTTTATGATTTATGGAATTCCACTTCTATTTCTAATTCAGCACGAAAGTTAACCACCATGGTGGTACATAACCTGCAGTAGTCCACTGGGTCATAAGCTCAGGCAGTTTGTTGATGGAAGTCATCATCTTACTTGAGGCTCTGTCAGAAGGACGCTTTCCCAAATAGATCTTTTGGAGATGCATTTTCCTAGTGAGGAACCACATTTCCCACTCACACACTTAAACTGAGAGCTGTTTTATTCTCAGGTGATTTTGGTCACCTGAGAACTGGCTTATTAAGTTAGGTTAAAGTTACTATCTAGAATAAGAGCTTGAGTCCACTTTTAGTATTTTTATTCTGTTCGTTGATTAAGTTGACAAATTATCTTCCTGCCTTCTTCCCTCTCTACCTAGGCATCCTTCCCTGCAAACTGGCACTTCTAGTGCTAAATAAGTAACACTAGACCAAAACAGCTTTAGACATCCAAAATACAAGTTGACATCTAAAACTAATAATGAAATTCCACGCATTGTATACTCTGCATAATCTGAATATTTAATGATTTCCAGCATGGGCCACTGTCCACTTTTTCCCCCTTTCATTTCTGTTACTTCCAGTGAGCAATATTCACTTGGATTGCTTACCAGGGAATCTGAGCCAGCTCTCCAGAAAAACATCCATTCTTCCTCTCAAGCAAGTTCTGGTGCGTTGATTTTTGTGGTGAACCTACATTTTACAAATCCTCTTATTTCTTGAAGTTGATCTTCCTGAGAAGTAGAGAAGGACCATAATAGTAAGGCATCAGCAGCTAAGGGTAGAATTTTCAAAGATTCAACCAAAGATGTGAAATCAAAGATGTGATCAGTCAATGGGATAATGAAGTTTCTTCTTTATAACCTAACCTTTCTAGTCAATGTCCAGCGGCAATGTTATTAGCAATAAACAAAGCTATATACAATTTAATTTCCAAAGCGGCCAGTGTTTGAGAAAGAGAAAGGTTCCTCAGCAGTTACTGTTTAATAATAATTTTTAATTTTAATAATTTATACTGAAGCCAACAGGCTCTTATCTCCTCTTGAATCCAGCCTAGCTACAAATAAAAGCATAAGCAATACTCAGCAATTAATAATTCACAGGTTTTTTTAATACCATTTTGAAGGTGTGTGTGATCATAATTGTCTGGATGTCTAAGCCCCATACAAATAAATTCGAGAAGTTTCATTATAAGAAAAATAATTATAAACACAGAAGAGGAAGCCTGAGAGTTGTTGGGACTAATTGGAATCCTTCATACTGCATAATAATAATATTGAATATAACAGTTCCTCCTGTATTTACAGAATGGTAAGGGAACAGAGAAAAATTTTTGATCAGATTTTCCCCTTTTCACTGACTATGGACATGAAGACTTCCCTCTTAACACGGAACAGTGGGCATCTGTTGGTAGGTAGTATGAGCCAGAGAAACTCGGTTCCTTGCTAATAAGAGTAAGAGGTAAATTAGGAGAAACTATTGAATTTACTTCGTGACGCTGGTCAGTGAAATTTTGAGGGAAGTGCAGGAAGAGAAAGAATGGTCTTACCCTTTAATGTACTTGAAAGATGTCTGAGGGTATTTGTATTCTTTTCTAGTTTCTGAATCATCATCCATACTTTTTTTAAAGAGTAAAATTTAAATCTTCAAAGTCTCTCCTCAGCTGCCAACTACTTTGATTCTTCCATAACCACTCAGATCCTGGCAACACTGAGCTACTTGGCTACCAAGCCCTGGAGAAGTTGCATACCAGGTGTTTTCTGCATCTCTGTGGGGCCCAAACCAGTAAGTGGTTTCAGAACATACCGAAAAAATTTGTCCAACAGAAAGTAGCCAGAAAGTCTTTTGTCAAAATGAACTAATGGACAAGCAAAACACACAATTTAGCTCCCTCCTCTACCTTGTTTGGAGTTAGGATGTGAATGAAATCAAGATCTCTAAATTGGTTCATAGGATATCCTGAAATGAAATAAACTTTTCTCTTGAATTGTTCCACTTGGTACAAATAGTTCATGAATAACTGAGAGGGTGGGAGAGTAAGGAATATATCCTTTTGTCTAGGAGCTAGGACATTCACTTAGGACGACTGGATTCTTTAGTAGGAGGTGCTGGGT